AGAGGCAGCCATAGCTGCCATAGCTGTAATTAGTAGTGAGTGTGTGTGTGTGCTCGAGTGTTAGAGTGATGCGTGTGGGATATCCAGGGTGATCCAGTGTATGTGAACAGTGAGATGTTTGGGCGCTGAAGTCGCCATAGCCGATTGAGAGTGAACTCGTATCTGAAAGCCATATCTCTGAGTTTTGAGTGAGCGCATGTTGCCAGTGTGCTGCGTTACTGTTTACATGTGTGAAAAGTGTGTTCGAAAATCAGTCTGATTGCACACATACACTTAAAAAGCTTTTGTTATTTTTTTATATTATTTTTTTGTATTTTTTTTTTTTATATATATAAAAATAATACTAATAATAAAAATAGTAAAAAACAACATAAGATAAAAAAAATTAATAATAATATTTTTGAGTTATAAATATATGCAAAAAGACAATAGAGGGAAAGAATTAGCTTTAAGAGGACGAAGTTGGAGGCGGCGCCGTAGCGCTCTGTTCCAGTGACACGCGCAAGTTAGGGTTTCGTTCTTACGTACGCGGAGTTCGCTCACCATACCCCGGGGCGCTCAGCACAGGGGAGGTGAGTCACGCAGCTGTCGAGTTTCGTGGTGAACTCGAGCAAAAGTGACACGGACTTGTCCTTGGTATGAGGCGAGGAGGGGTGGTGTATGTATGGGCAGTGGAGCTTTTGTTTCTCTCGACCATCTCGAACCATCTGAACCGAAGATCGCTGTACGGACAGCGAGCTGCAGTGCATAGGAGTCTATTCTTCATGAAGGGGAGCTCTTTTCTGCTCTCGAGTGGGTACCACAGAGTATCTTCGAAGCCTAGGAGCCGAAGCAGGACAACAGAAAGTTAGTACAGGAACATATATTGCTTCTAGCGAACTAAGCGGAGACTGGAGGCAGGGCCACATAGAGCAAGGAGAACAAAGGTTCTTCCCCTTGTAGGCATGTACGCGCTCTATACACGTGTGGACAATCTTAAAGGTTTTTCAGAAGCCACCCGGCGGTGCACAGACCGTGTGGGATTCTAGTTCCACTTTGGCGGGCACCGCTGGTAGTGACGAAAGAACAGCCGGCAAACGAACACCAAGTGATCGAACAGCAAGTGAGCGAAGTTACTAATTGGTAAGCGCCATCAGGATCTAATATGGTAAGACCTTGCTCGCTTGGTTGCCAGCCTGTCTCGGACGCAAGCAGTCTGGGACCAATCACACAGAGCTTCGTACTAGCTCTCATCCCTATTTCACTTTCATTGACCTGCACAGTCGTTTGGCCATTGGATGTAGAAGATCCCAGCCATCGCAATAGGGCTCATTTGGGTTGGACGTTGTCTTCCTGGAAAGCATTTGAAATGGGCCGCCTAGATATTAAAGCCTCCTCTTTAGGCCGCCTACAACCCTCCTGGACAAGATCTTGAACGGCGACATCTGGACTCGAACCTGAGAGTCGACGAGAGTGAGCTAGTGGTCGGCTGGTGGGGAGAGTCTGGGAAAGGAAGTGCTGGTGGTGGTAAGAGCTTGGCGAAAGTAAGAAGTTGGTTAGGGACAAGAAGGAATGTGAAAGTCAGTGACAACGGGAAGCTCTGGCAGATTAAGGTTACTATGAAGAAACAACGGGGCGCTTCCTATGGACGTGTCGTGTTTGAACTGGGGGTATGAGCTGAGATAGGTTTGTGTGATAGGTCAGTGCCATCGGCCTCAAAATGGTGTTGGTGAGGTATTGAGAGCCACTGACGTTGATCTGAGGATTAGATGGAATGACATTCACAGTTCAGGAAGTGATAATGACGCAGATTTTTTGCGGGATGAGAGTGGTGGTTACGACCCGTGCGGGGGTATCAAGACTTACTCGTTTGATAAGAACATGCCTGACACATCCGACTAAGACGCAACACACGGAAGAAACAGAGGTTAAGAAGAAGGGGCGGTGAAAGGCATTCAGAACCGGTGACAATAGCAAGCTGCTCTTGTCGGGCACGACGCAAAGCACGTGCTTCCACAAATAAACGTTCGCAATGGCAGCAGGCAAACAGGGAAGCACTTGCCTCCACCACGGAATCCCTACCACTGTAAGGGGGAAGGGGATGTATCTAAGCACGCAACCTGTCGTTTCCCTTAACGAGAAAGCGATCGCCAGTCCGCATCAGAGCACTGTAAATCCGAGCATCAGATGGTCCGGCGTCGCCGAGGCGCCAGACCATTGGATGGCACAGCCATCGGATGGTGGTTCGGTTGGCAAGGCGTCGGACCGTAGGAGGCAGAGGCACCCGACAAAAGCAGCAGGAAGGTGCTGCAGCCGCAACAACAACAACCACAACAACTCAAACCAACGTTCGGACAACAACTCTAAACAACGTTCAGACAAGAGGAAGGTGTTGCAGCCGCAACAACTTCAACCACAGCAACTCCAAGCACAACAACTCTAACGTACGTTCGGAGAGCTGTTGTGCCGAAAGCCTGGATGGTCCGGCCCCTCGACTACGCCGGACCATCTGATGGTCTGGCGCCTTGACGACGCCGGACCATCCAACGGTCTTGTGCCTTGACGACGCCTGGACCATCCGCGGCCACAGCATGTGCAGCCGGATACGAACCCTTGCTTACATGGTCTGGCGCCGAGACGACGCCGGACCATCTGATGGTCTTGCGCCTCGACAACGCCGGACCATCTGATGGTCTTGCGGCTCGACGATGGCATACCATCGGATGGTCTGGCGCCTCGACGAGGCCGGACCATCCGGTGGTCTGGCGTTTTGACGACGCCGTGCCATCGGGAGGGCCAGCAAAGGTAGGGACCCAGCAGAGGGACCCAGCATCAGAGGAACCACAGCAAGACTGACGGACATTGGGGCAAATGCGTCAGCAACCGCGGCCACAACATGTGCAGCGGGACACGAACCCTTGCTCACATGCCACAGCAACAGTGCGATGCAGCAGCGGCAGCAGCTGCTGTGCCGAAAGCCTGAATGGTCCGACGCCTTGACGACCACATCCACAACCGCAGCATCTCGAACCAGAAAAACATCAGTGTTCACTTAGACGCCACAGCGACAGCGAGAACAGCATCGTTGAGTAGCTGGTGTGCCGACCACAACATTTGCAACCACAGCGTCTGCTACAGCAACAACATCAACGCTCACTTGGACTCCACATCAACAGCGAGAACAGCTGCGTTGAGTTGCTGGTATGCAGGACCCCTAGATGGTCCGGCGCCTTAATGACGCCGGGCCATCCGACCGTCTCGCGCCTTGACGACGCCGGACCATCGGAGGAAAGGCAGGGAAACAGCACCTGCACCAACAGAGGGACCCAACATGAGCGGCTGCAGCTGCAGCAAACGTAGCACCTCCGACCACAACATCGACAACGACACCATCTCGAACCCCAACAACATCAACGCTCACTTAGACGTCACAGGAAGGCAGGGGCACAGCTGCAGCAAACGCAGAGGAACCCAGAATGAACGGCTGCAGCTGCAGCTAACGCAGCACCTCCGACCACAACATCGACA